ACACACACACACACACCAGATGCTGTTTAACTAACTCAGCTACCTAACTTGGTTGCCATTAGCAATGCATGAAGTAACCGCTACAGTACGATTTTAAAAACGCAAAAATAAAAGTTCCCGACACCAAAAACACACATTTCTCGACAGTTTACACGTATAAAAGCCTGTTAGCAGGAAGTAAACAAACAAACTAAAAATGCATCTTACCGTTAGTGAACCGATTGACCGACACCACCATCACCTCTCCATCGTCCTCAACAGTCTCCATAATGTCTCCTCCTCCACCGGAAAGTCTCCAGATAACGTCGAAATGTCTCACCGGCTTCTCTTTCTTTGGTGCGAGCAAAAAAAAACAACCCAACAACAAACAAACAACGAAACACCAGGTGTCTTGACCTCTTGTCTGTTTTTGTCCGGTCGCTGACACTTGGATCGAAAACAAACAAACGCAACCGAAAGTGCCGTTAGTGTGTGTGGTAACGTTGGCTAATCAACGGACATCACCAGGTGTGGATGACAGCACGCGCCCCGCACAGTGCCTGCATGTGCGACCCCGCCCACCGCGCGCTGCAGGCACGAGAGCGCAGGTTTGTCCAATACGACGTGAAGCGGACACACTGCTGCTGGTTCAGTGCTGCCTTTACGCTGCATACACATTACGACAGGTAGTGTTACTTTTACCTGTAACATTACGGCCGACTGCTGTCCCAGTCCAGAAAGGGAATAGAGACGATGGTGTTGTAAAAATTAATATAATAGTACTGTAACTATTATCTGTTTGGTAATGGAGTATAAGTTATAAATCATTCACTTTTAATAGAGTAATGGGTATTAATAGATTTGGAGCAACTATCACTGCATATAGGTTAGATAGTACACATCCGGGAATTCAAATATAACATAATATAGAAATATTCTAAATCTAGCTTGAATGTAATTAATGAAAATAATGAATAAAATTGAATAAGAAAAATATAGTGGCATGACCTCATATCCAAAAATATATTCGCAATATTTTTCCAATCATTTTTTACATCCAATAATGTTCAAAAGTCTCACAAGAAAATAAATAACACTTAAGGAAAGTTCTAAACAGTTAATTTGGTGTAAATATAATGTGCTTTCCTTTCTGTTTTATCATCTCCTCCAGCCGTTTTGATTTGTCACGTGACCCCTTGTGAAAAACTCGCATTTAACCACTCCAAAAACAACCTGTAAATGCAGATTTTCATCTCTAATGTTTAATTATGGTGCTATAATACCTGTAATTTATATGGGTCAAAGATTTACAGAGTCTGTTTTGTGTTATTTTAAAGCAACAATTCCTAAAGGCCAGCCAGAAATTCAGCTAAATCTTCTAGGTAAAAGTAATTATGTAAATAAATAGGATGTTAGAGTCAGCCCTTTCTAGTCTTTACAACCTCTCAAGCAACTTTACAACTTACAATGTCACATTCACATCATTCACCAACCAACTTCTCATCAGAACTAATCTAT